GTAAAACTAAAACATATATATTTCCACATTGCCTTTCTCCAAGAAAGCATACCACACAGCATAACAGCCCCACAGAGCTTCTGCAAAGGACAGATAACCACTATCACCTCCCTACACTCTAAAGGCCAAACCAGTTACATAAGCTATCCAAACTCTGTTTTTTCTCCAAACACATGCTGTTTGTATTTATTTTTCTTCCAAATACATGAACTTATTGTCCTCACAGTTAAGTGAGGGCTTTCACCTGAATTTCATGCACAGTACATAAGAGCAAGAACAACTTCAGCGAAGGCTTAGTCATAAGCCTCACTCAGCCTGTCACTCAGATTACGGGCTAAGCACAGTAAAAGTTACATTTATTCCGAATTATTTAAATTGGCTTACTGTGGTACACACAAGGTACTCAAGCTGAAGTTGTTACATTTCTTTTAAGGAAAGTAACTCCACTAAACTGCCCATTTCATGGCTGTACACAGCTGAAGCTTCCTATGATTATTTCTTCCCTGCCTCATAATTAATCACAGAAGCAGAATTAATCCTTTTTATATAAAAAAGGTTTTGTATGTAAGTCATGAAATACCTTGCAAAGCACTTAGCAACAACACAATTTTATGAATTGCACCATCAGTGGTGTTTAATTTATGAATATTCAGTTATACAATACAGCTACAGAACTACCTAAGTGAACCAGAGAAGCCTGCTTCAGTGAGCTAAGAACTACAGTACTGCCTATTTTTTTCTACAGTTTGTAGCATACCAACTTAGACAGTTTTAGAGATATTCACACAAGAGAACAGAGAAGACTAGCTTAACTATGTTACACAGCCTTTTTATAGGCGATAAGAGTAGGCCTTTAAATATGATGGCACACCCTTTACAGGACAAGGCTCAAAGAATGACAGATTTCAACAAATACCGAATTGCTTGTCACTGTTAGTGATCCTCTCATAACTTACAGCACATTACTAGTAAAGGCACTGAAAGCATTACTATTTTTTCCCTTAAGGCTTTATTGACTGCTGCAGCACACACATAATTCACCGATTCACTTATTTCTATCGTACTCTTGCAAGCTTACAGAAACATGAAGTGTCGTGGGTGTGGATGGAAGGTCAAAAAAAAAAAAAAAAGAGAGAAGTGGATGAAGTTTCATTTCAGCTATGACAAGTGTAGGCCATTTTTTTTCCCCCTCTTAGAATGGTTTGCTTTCCTATGGTTGACAGAGGTCTAAATCCAGTTGCCCATTTTAAATTTGCAGAAAAACACAATTAGAGCTTTTCAGAGTCAGGTGCAAGGGCGAGGAGGTAGTTTAGAAGTAGCTAGTATCTTCCTGTCTATGATCTGAAGAACAGAATCTGACTACAGTACACATTGTTTGGATTCTGACTTGCAAGAATATAGCCCAGCTAGTCTGAGCCATTAGGAACTTTTCTGCTATTAGTTATTACATTCATGACAGCATGTTTAACTCCAACCGAAAGGCAATCAGGCCCAACTGGACCTCCCTCACACACCAAGGAGGCCAGAACATGGAAGAGGCCGTGATGTTATGCAGCAGTCCTAGATAGTTGAAGCTTCCATAATTTAGATTTCCACATGATTTAGGTTTATAGCACCTCACTTCAAACTGAGGCAAAGTTTGATAACTTTAGTCTGATAAGAAATTCCTCTCTCATTACTGAGAAATGCAAATAAACAATTCAGTTATGTAAATAAACTAAAGTTTACTCATCAACCAAAACGAGATTAAAAAAAAGTGTTAGAGTTTACAAGTCAAGTTCTTGAAAACACTAGATTTATTTGGTATTGATACCGCAGTAAGATTTGTGGATAGACATTAACCTCAACTTGTTCTTGACAAAGGGAGGATGCAGGCAGAATAACGTGAAATACCTATAAGTAAAGTTACATGACACTACTAAGCAAGAAATTTAGCAACAGAAAAACTACTTTAACAACAGCTGACAGCAAATAAAGCTGTTTTACAAATACAGACCAACAAAAACAGATTGTCCTTGAGGCCAAATCTTCCAGACTGCCAAATAAACTTTCAAACAGCTAAGGGAGAATCAGAGGACCATAATACAGAAGTGTGAGAGACAGGAAGAGCAGCTTGCCTGAAGAATAGGGAAATTAAGAATCCTTTTTATTCTCAGTTGGTTCAGGCCAACTGTAACAGGTTGAATGAGACTTTCTTATAAGTCAGACTACAGATTTATGTGCAATGTAACTTCAGAAGCAAAATAGCCACCTGAACTTAGACAAACAAAATCATGGCCAGAAACTGAGCCATGGACTGTTACATGAATATGATTAATGTACTTTCACTGTTCAAAAGATGAAGAAAGTCACCACATGCTGAGATTAATCTAAAACACTGGTCTTGCCTATGAAATTCTGGTAACAAAACGTGTTATTGGGGAAGAAAGATCTGTTGCTCTGGCTCCGATATGCTGAAGGAATAGTTTTGCTCTGTTAGGAAGAGCTGTTAAGCACCCTAACAGCCAGTGAGGGTGTATACTATCTATTCACAGACAATATTTGAAATGCTAATGCTCTTAAGTTGCCTGCATACCGTAAAGTTACTTCCTTCAATTTTAGGCACCTTAAGATAGGCTTTCATAACTTTTTTTCTTAGCTTTGCTAGGCTTTCCTCTGCCACTACTTTCCTGATCCCTTACTTGCTATAGTATAAAGTCCAGAACTGATATTGCACGCCACTCCTGCCCAACAAAACAGGCTCTCCTTATAAGTTCTTGAATTATCCTAGATAAGAAACAGTTCCCCTGATGGTAGCTGTCTTAAAAGTTTAGCCACTTTTCAATTTTTCACCTTGTATTGTAAGGGCAGCTTAGATAATATTATAAGAGCAGCATTAACTTTTAGATCCTTGTAGAGAGACTCAGAAATCCCTCACCCTGAAATAAAAGTAGACAAAGATTTTATTCTGCTCCTAATTCCAGCCAGAGAATCCTGGAAAGAGAAGAAAAAAGGTACAAGGACAAGGTAATCTAATACAACATTTCAGTCTTCATGCAAAAGTGCTAACCAGGAGGAGGCTATAATTCACACTCATACTAGCACTGAAAAGGTTAGAAGCCCCCATTTAGAGACCCATAAAAACTGCTTAGCATCAACAAAAGCTCAGAGGTGACAAGCTGACTAGAGCACAGGACACTCAAGAAAAGTTAAGTAGTCCTTTAGAGAGGTGCCTCTGTAAAGGTACCTCTACATTCATGCTTCTCTGCTAACATTTTTATTTTAAAAACTTTTTCCAGATGGTAACTTCAGCCATAAGATAACTGAGAAAGTTTTCATTTGTGTGTGGCTATTTTTCTAGGGAAAAAAAGCAGAACCACTCTCCAATTTCTTTTCAGCATCTCCCTATGTTGTCACATTGTTTTTCACTTCCTTTTCATTGCAAGGGTTCCACCAGACACTGGTGTTGGTCTAAATTTTGGCAGATTTGGCATGCTCTGCACAGTCTATTCTAGAGCTTATTCCCTCACCCAATCCAAGTCACCTATCCCAACTTACATCAGTGTTCACTCACAATGACCAAGTAGACATCACTTGCCCTCGAGTACAAAGTATGCATGCACACTGAGGGACCAGCACATACTTCAAGAGTGCAGTAGAAAACTGAATACAAGACTAAGTAATTTTTGTTAATTCTGGCTGTATGTTCAGAGTGACCTTCTTCATTTCCAAGTCAATGTTTAACACAAAGACATAGCTTTTTATATATAATTTAGTCTCCAAGCAAGATCTTTATTAGACAGATTAAATATACCTTTCAGACAAAGAGGCTGAGTTTAAAACAGTTTAAGTAACTTCTTGTATATGCTTGGGAAGTGAATTAAAGTATTTTCATGTTACTTCATCTTTCAACTTCCACATTGTGGTATATCTCAACAGATCACTATGAAGTTCAATCAAGTTATTTCAGGCTTCATAAAAGCAGTAAGTATTCCCATGAGAAAAAACAGGCTAAGAGGCAGGGTATATATATACGGCAAACAAATTGATTCTGAAGATAGTAAGTTCTAAGCCCCATACATACATACAGCCCCATACACTGCAACATGTTATCCATCTAAACCTAGTCCTTTGTCTACTTAAACAGAAAACTTATTTTACCATGGGCATCACGATGGAATATCTCAACTGCTTCTCAGAACAAGAAAAACCCACAAAGCCACATACACAGCTAAACCACTTGGCATACAATTACTCTATGAGCATTATCAGATGCTGCTTAACTTCTTAACTTTGGCCTCAATTCACCAGGATGCAGTCAAAGTCACTACATATTATTCGTTTTATAGAAATAAATTTGTATTGCTGCTGATTATTGGAATGGTCAAGATCTATAGTCTCAAAGGATTGTAAGATGTATTTTCATCTTACTTCTACTAGAAGACCACTTAACACAGTAATTCCCCAAGAGTGAGTGAGAAAAAGCAAGAAAGCACACATGAGTGAATGTGTAGGGGAGTTCAAATAGATTTGGTTTTGCTACGGATGAATCACACATATCTTTAATTCATAGTCTTCTGCAAGTAAGCAGGCTACAAAACGGGAAGGTTGGGCGGCAAAGCATTAGAAAATGCAGAGTTTGCAGACAGTAGCACAGTTCTGTGATAAAGGAGAGCATGCCCATTAGGGCAGTGTGTCACAGGACTATCAAGTTCTTTAATTCATAGTCTATTTTCAACAGTTATTCTAATAGCTTCCTCTAGTTTTTCACTTGCCAAAACAGTTGATAGAAAGAAGAAGGAACAAAAACACACACACAAAACACCCAAACACACAAAACACCCAAACACACAAAACACCCAAACACACAAAACACCCAAACACACAAAACACCCAAACACACATCTACCACATCACGACTAAATTCAAGCACGTAAGAACAAAACAAATCCCCCATAAAATACGAGAGAATGTCACACAAAAGCAAGCAGTAGAGTTTTTAGAATGGTGCAGTCACTTACCTTTAAATTTTGAGCGAATGTTTGCTAGTTCTTTGTTTATTCTTTTTATCTCAGCTTCTTTGCTTTTGCCTGAAATCAAAAGAACATACATCAGGTGGTGTTTCAGAGTACTGTTCCTCTAACCTCAGTAAGTTTAGCAATAATCACTGAAGATTAAAAAAAAAAAGTGAATAGAAAAGGGGAAAACAAAACAAGTACATCAATCTTAGGCAGCTTACTTAAAAAACTTTAAGGCTTTAATCTATATTAGATTTTTTTTTTTTTAAGCGCAAAGCCACCTTCCCCTCTAAGCTTTTCAAGCAGCATTTTTACCCATTACACTATCCATCAATTGCTTCTAAAAACTATGGTCTTTGTTTCCTAAGCAAGCAACTGAGCATTAAAGGAAGCTTCAGTGAAATACTTCATAAATTCCTGAAATCAGGAATCTTGGGCAGATGGAGGGCAGCCTCAGCAAAACAATGATTCCCCTCCCCTCTCCTGGTCATACAAAGGCATTCCACATATCAGACACCCAAGTTGGATTCACGATCAATCCCCAAATTGTCTCCTTACTACATTGGTTTTCTTCAGAAAGCAAGCATCTTGACATCAATAATGCAACTATTCAAACATCTCATGAGATTCATTTAATAGGCTGCAAACTTGCCTAGAATGAGCCACAGTTACGTTAAGCAAATTAGCATAATCTGCTATCTATTCCGGTTAGTTTTAAAGAGAAGATTGAGCAGTCGTCTGTCCCATCCCTCTCTTACTCCCCTCTCCAATTATCCCCATTTTTAAGCAACCCTTTGCACATAAATTTCAGCTAAAATGGTCCAAATAAAGTTTAAGCAAATACATTTTTATAGCCATTTTGAAGTCACACACAGATTCTCTAGCAATGTCAGGATCTGAGCTAACACAAGCAGCTGTGGAAGAGCAGAGGCAGCATTATCACTAACTACAATATATACATGCCAGAGATAACAGTTGTAGAGCAGCACTAGCACACTAGGTATCAAGTCCCACTGATGATTGAGGATAGCCACATAATAGGATACTTCAGTTTAACTCTTAACCTTTGAGTAATTAAGTTTCCTAAAGTTCCAGCAGTAACATTGCCTGATAGTCATATTCAGACTTCTAACTCATTATTGTTTGCATTAGAAGATGACAACATGAGACAAAGCATCACAGGAATGAGTGGCTTCACATGGCTCCACATACACGAACAGAAAGAAAAACAAATAAGTACAAATAAGTCAACCAGCCAAGAGATGCACGAATTTCAGCCAGGTTTTCTATGCCACCAAGGGGCAGCATGTTTGGGAAGGTGTTTAATTGGCAAGTTTTCTTCACATCACTTGTAGAAGATCTTCAACAACATGACCAAGTGCATTTATTTTACCACCACTAGAACACTTAAGCACCCTTAAGGAAGGTAAGAACACTGTTGATAACCAATGGCATCAATGGCCATCGTGTACACAAACAGATGGCTAGGACAGCACTTAAACCACAGCGCATACAGATACTAAGATTTTCATATCCCACATCAGTTTAGTGCACATCCTTCTTACTTTCACTTATTCAGGCTTCCTCTTATTCAGGCTTTTCCAGTTTAAAAAGACTGATTAAATATCCATAATAAGAGGTTAAAAGAGGTGACTGCAATCCAGTAAACGTTGGCTGGCTATTTTGTGGATAAGACACCACAGTGTCTTTACAGTTACTTTACAACTGTAAAGTAACAAACAGAATACAGCAGCTCTGTTAATCTTATCCGAGATTAATAACTGAGCAAACTGATACCCAGCCACAATATTGAGACACTCAGTCAATTAATTTATATTTGGCAGTTGGCCAGTGTTCTTTCACCTTCGAATGCCATCTTGTTTAACAGAGCACTGAATACTGCAAGTCAGAGGGCTCTTTGGAAGAATAAAGGGTGACTGTTCTTAATCTCCTATTAATCTAGTCTGTAGTCGGAGCTTCGATATTCCATGAACACCACCTTAACTAAGTCAGTAACTTCACATTAAATAAGAACAAGAAAACTCAAGAACAGGAATCAGATACGTTGACAATCTGTTCATTTGAAGACAGTGTTTCAGATGTACCATGACAGTAATTTGGCAGAAGACTTGCAAGATTAATAGAATGTCTTAAGGGCAGTATTAGTGGGCTGCTTGCAGATCATTTAGACCAGCAGGATTAACTTGCCTTTGCACTAAGCACAAACTGCAAGTTTGATGCACAAAGCACATCCACGACAATTAAGGAGAAATGCTACAAGTCTAATGATTAAAACAAAACAAACAAAAAGTTGATTTGGTGCTATCTATCCTTACAGTAGTAGTACACAGACATCTGAGATAAAAGCTTGCTTGCCTTGAAGATATATGA